TATTTAGGCTACTGTAATAATTTTATTGTTACCAATTTTCTATACATTGTAATTATTTTTTGACGTGATAGCACCATCCCGTAGCTATATATTATTATGTTTGGAGCACGAATGTTTTGGCTCGACCGGGAAATGTTTACGCTTTCACAGAATAGCAACTTAGTTCCTCTGTCTTTCTTATGGTGAGTGTAGAGAACCGGAGACCTTTTGTTCTGGAAACAAGTCATTCCATCTTTGTTCTCAGGGGTGACAACGCATCAACAACGCATCGAGGATAGACGTAGATGTCTATGGGATATAGCATCAAATTAGGTGGACTGTTTGCTCGTTTACTTTAAATACGCAGATATTTTGTGAGAGTGTGTCCCATTCGTAATACAATTATTATAAAGCTGCAGTATGACACCTCCATATTTCTAAAAGACCCTATGGTTTCCAATGGATGGGATGAATGAATCGATATAACCAACACTGCCATCCGAAAACCAAGGTAACCGAACATAATACAACAAACAGCTTCAAAGACGTATGGTACTGCAATAGTCCAACCATGACAAGAACAGAATAATTTTACTGGCTGATAAAGAATAAGAATACCGGTCAAAAATAGCAAGGATTTGTACAGGAATTTTATTGCTGACTATTTAGTTGGTCTAGTGATCGTAAAAAGCGATTGCTGAATATAAAGTTCCGGGTTCAAATTAGGGGTTGGGTCAAAAATCAGTAGTTGGGTTTTTCTGTCAATAAATTTTCAGTAGAAAAGCTATGCCCGGTGTCAGGAAATTGGCGGTGTTTCACCTTCGTGTCCCGGAAAGCAGGTGAATCCGCTAGTCCGGTAACTGATCTCTTGCCGGTCGTGTCGGATTCAAATTGCATCGGACTATGGGATTGGGGGAATAGAGAGTGCACCAGTGATATGTATTAGAAGCGACAGTAGCCTAATGGAAGGGTGTGGACCGTATACTTAAAAGGTCTTGGGTTCGAATCCACCATTCGATTATTGTCGTGAACTACTCCAGTGAACATAAGCATTTTAAGCTTACGGGGTGTGATTAGACGGAGTATTAGCAATATTCAGAGCATTACTAGTTTTTTTTTATGAAAATAAAAAAGTGTTCGCGCACGGTGTAGCCTTATAAACCTGTCCTGTACTAGGCTAGTCTTCGTAGAGACTGACCGCTGTGACCGAATTTCGGTTAAGTGACATTATTTACTATTGCAAAACTATAAAATTATCAAGTCCTCCAATGTCAGCATTACACAATCCACTATCCCATATAATCCCGTGAATTTCGTAAGAGGCAACATAGAGATATACATCAGCAGATGGGCAGGAGCATCCTCCTGATAACAGCTCAAATAAAAAATAAAAACACCTGTTGCCAAACAGTCAGCCAAGTGTGGCAACTGCGTACCACATTTGGGGCAATCTATAGAGAGGCCTATATTCAGCAGTGGATGTTTAATGAAATATTTTTTTATATAATAAGGGTGAGAAACGAGCACACAGTGCACCTGATGGTAAATGGATGCTGTGGCCCATAGACATCTATATTAAGTCTACATAAACATAAACACTCACGCCTGTCACCCAGAGGGGTAGGCAGAGACTACAGACTTCCATTTGGCACGATCCTGACGCACCTCTCCATTCCTTCACATCCATATACCTACGCATACATGCATAAATCCATTTTTAAAAATATTAATAAATAAATTAGTAAATGTATATTATTGAAATAGTTGTCATAGCGATCCTCATTTTCATACATCCAATCTAATTTTAGTTTATTGTATAGGAAATTATCTCCGCATATCGTTTTATGATTTCATATTTCATTTTCACGATTTCCTTTCATAAAACTCCACTGAGCGTGTCTTCGAATTAGTATTGAAATTCACCAAACCTTGAATATAAACTTTGAACTTATTTTATTTGAAATATCGATATTACATCGCGCCCGTCGCCGAACAGTGTATTTTATTTTTGGCGTTAACAAGATTGTTATATCGCCAGTTATAGCAAGCCAAGATATATTTCTGGTTTCCTATAGCCACCTTTTATTTTATACTCTTTCACCACCACACAGCGTTGTCACCTTACTCAAGACAAAATTAAAAAAAAAGACTCTATCAGTCGATTAAAATTTTAAGTAACAAAACATATCTTGTATCAATAGGTTTATTAAAGAAATTTGTAACAGTAGATTAAAATATTTTGATGATTGAGTTATGATATTTTTAATTTTATACGTTTAAAAATAAAGTTTGTATTTTATTTTCATTTTAATAGGTCTTTACCAATGAAATTGCCGTTCTGCAGTACTGGCCATTTCCAATCAAAATAAAAATTTTGATTGGCTAAGAATTCTATTTCCAAATAAATTTTATTTTAAATACATTCTTTTTTCAAAATTACTTTTTGTTTATTGATAAGCGTTATGTTTTCTTCGCATTTGAATTTTTTTCGTCACCTAGGATACGTTCGAAATTCGATTATTAAGTACCTGGAGATTTTTACTTTTTACAGAATTTGAATGACTTTTTGGCGGAAAAAAAATTCAACACCCAGGGAGAGGCAGACAGGCAGTAGAAAACGTCTTTGAAGAATTTGTTGCCCCCCGTTCTAATGATTTCCGTAAGAAGGGTATCAATAAACTACCTCCAAAGATGCATTGGTGATTATTTTAAGGTAATAGAAATAATAAAACATGGAAAAAATTACGTTAACTTAATTCATAAGAAACTACAATTATAAAGCTGAAGAATTAATATTTAATTAATAAACGCATGTTCTTCTAATAAGGTTATTGATACCGAGCTGTTTCTAAATAGAGTGACAACCTGGTAAGAGATGGAGGAAGTCAGTGGATGCAGTTGGCTCAAGACAGTCCTATGTGACATTCCTTGGAGGAGGACTAAGTTCAGCAGTGGACTCGTCATTGGCTGTTATAATGATAATGATGTTGCCAAAATAAGTTTTGTAATCTACTACTGGCTGGCTGGTTATTCGAGTGCTATTGAGATATTCAAACCGTTTTAAAATTTGTGTTTGACTGCCCATCCGATCGAATGGCTGAACCGATTGTAAGGGATCTGTACAAACAGATGGAGCAATGCCAAAAATGATCTATGCTCTATTTTATACGAAAAACTGTAATATTGAAAAAAATGGTCATTGATAATAATGGATGCGTTTAGCAGAAAAAAGCGCTAGGAAGCGCTTGTAAGCAAAATGGCGAAACTAAACAGTTTTCGGCCAGGACACGTTTGCTAACTTTAGTAGCGCTGACACAATCTGCCATTTTGATTATTTACTTTGTTTGGTTTGAAGTAGAGTTTATAAGTTGTTTTGTGCAATATTAGTTTCAAGTAACATAATGACATGAATAAACATATTATACGTGTTATTAAAGATTCATGATTGGTAAGTTTTTAATATGAATAATTTACAAACATATATTTAAATTAGGTTAGGTTCCCCGGTTAAAGCTTACTTCGTGTCCTAGAGGAAAATTACTTATGATTTGACAGCGCTTACCGCTTTCGATCGCCATTTTGCTTACAAGCGCTTCCTAGCGCTTTTTTCTGCCAAACGCAGCCAATTAGTACATGCTATCCGAACGAAACCAAGGTGGGACGCTAGTTAATTATATGTTTTATTTGTGGACTAGAAATTTTATTTATGAGTTAAAAATTATAATAAACAAACTTCCACGTTGGGCTCTTTGCAAGAAATCGAATAAAAAAAATAATATCTGTTTTCTTATATCGTGGAAACGTCAAAAATGGCTTCCAATAAATATTATTTATTTATTCATCGTTTAGCAATGTTATCAATTCTCCAAGATGTTATATTATCATTCGGAATGAGGTTATTAATCTATATTCGCCTGTCATTCTTCATGTTACGTGAGATTGCGAATTATTGAGTAAAAACATAACGAAAAAATTAATTTCATTCTCAGTTGTACTGTTACAATATATTAAGTCAGGGTTGGTTTGAAAAATTGCAAAATACGTGTTCATTTATTTTATTAAAAGAATACTTTTAGTAAGTTTTGAGTCAAACGTCCCGTAAAAAAAAGGTTTCATAAAAAATGTAACCTTTTATATTCTCTTAGGGTTTGAGTTTTGTAGGATCCCTGTGCTATTAAAGGAACCTATTGTCTTAATTTCACGCTTCTACTCCCAGTGGCTTAATCTATAAGTCTTAATACAACATTTTACACAAACTTTGCATCCTCGTTTCACAAGCTTAAACTTTTGAAAAAATGGAAATCGCATACCACATATAAAAACCCTCTGTCCAGTAAGGGTTGTTATCAAAATCGCAAAATCTGATAATCTGCACCGCAAAATCGAGTCAATCGCCCGGAAAAATAAAAATTTTCATCAAACTGTAACACCCTATTTCGCCCTCGTAGTGCGTTGAATTTTCCAAAATCCTCTCTTAAAAGTTAGGTACTGTCTGAATTTCAGATTCCTAGGTCTAGAAGTTTGGGATGTGTGTTGATAAATTAATCAATCAGTCGTGTCCCACGGGGAACAAGTATTTGTATTACGTTCGGACGTTATTCCTTGTGTAAATTATGTACGTAAACTGTACTAACGATACAAGTTAACCCTCTGCTACTGACGTAACGTACGTCAGACACCGCAAAATTTATATGTCTGTCTCATTCCGTCATTTCGCGACATAATCTCCTGTCTCGCTCAGTACCTTCCTCTGAGAGCGTCCCCTACGCGTTAGTGCGGCGACGGCAGCCGCAGTGTGCGCACGTGGCTAGTTGGAGCTATCAGGTGTCTACAGGACGTAAGTTCAGTAATAAGTGATGGATCTGTCATACGTATTGTCAGTAAAATATTTATAATACCCTACTGTCTTACATACGTCATATCAGCAAAATAATTATGTTTAAAGTATCTGTCGTTCATCACCTTAGCAATATGTTTCTTTATAATTTTAATGACCTATGTTTTTGCTTCTATCTATATAGATGGCGAGTGCCATTAATTCGAAGAAGAGAAATCTTACAGGAAAATTACTTGAACAAGCACTTGAACAGTGGTTAGAAGAAGATAATGAGCACGAGTATAGTGATGTAGACGACGAAGTAGCTGATCAAAATTTTACAATTGAAGAAGAAGAACATGTTGAGAGTGAGATTTCAGAAGTCGACGAAATAGAAATTGAAACATCGAGTGAAGGGACAAATCGTTATACTAATACGCCTGACTCGAACCGCAATTGTTATCGAGGTAAAAATGGTTTTGTTTGGTCAGTTACTGACTTTTTAAGGACATCATGAACACTACCTCCTAACATTGTGTCTTTACCTAGACAAAACCCTGATCATACGAGATTTCCCGGTTACGAAGCACTCTGGCTGAAGCTCTTTGACAATATGATAGAAACAATAGTTTCCTGTACAAATAAAAAACTTGAAGTTTACCGCCGCCAGTTCTCTAATTATGCGAAACACGAGCTGAGAGATACAAAGTTAAGTTAAGTTAAGTTACAGCCTATATACGTCCCACTGCTGGGCTTAGGCCTCCCCTCATTTCTGAGAGGGTTTAAGGCAAGGAAGTGTCCGCCGCGCTACCCAAATGCGTATTGACGAACTTCACATGTCTTCGAAATATTTTTTTTTCTTATTCCTCAGACATGCAGATTTCCTCACGATGTTTTCCTTCACCGCCGAGCACGTGGTAAATCAGCACTTAAAATTGCAATTAACAATTTCATTGGTGCCGGCGGGGATCAAACCCGGGTTACTCGTGTTCTGTTATATTTACAGCGACCGTTAACCACTGAGCTACCACGGCTCTTCTTAGAGATACAAGTGCTGTAGAAATTCGATCTTTACTTGGATTATTATACTATTCCTCAGTATTCAAATGTAATGATGCTGATTCAAACTATTTATTTGCGACTGATGGAACAGGTCATGAAATATTTAGATTTGTCATGTCTAAATATAGATTCAACACACTTTTGAATTGCTTGAGGCTGGACAATATTGATGACCGACAGGAGCGCTTAGAAACCCGACCCTCTTGCTGCTGTTTCTGGATTTTTTATAAATTTATCGCAAATTGTCAAGCAAATTACACAGCTGGTCCATACACCTGCATTGACGAAATGCTATTAGCCTTCAAAGGTCGCTGCAAATTTGTCATCTACATGACAAAAAAACCCGCTAAATATGGAATCAAGATAATGGTCTTGAGGGACGCCTTGAGGGAATCCTACGTATATAACGCGTACATTTACCACGGCAAGGGTTCTGATGGTATAGGTTTCCCGGAGGCTGAGAAAAAGCTTTCTGTCCCTACACAGTCTGTGTTGCGACTTATAAAACCCATTGAAAATACCAATCGTAATGTGACAGCGGACAATTGGTTCAGCTCAATACCTCTGGCAGAAATGCTATTGAAAAAAGGACTGACATATTTGGAAATATTAAAAAAAAGCGAGAAATACCCCCAGAGTTTATGCCAAGTAAACAGAGCTGTTGAAAGTTCTCTTTATGTTTTTACAAAAGGCCTCACTTTGTTGTCTTTTGTCCCAAAAAAGATAAAGCCGTCATACTAATTTCTAGCTGTCACCATAGTGCTAGTACGGACACAGAAACTAGAAAACCGACCATAATAGTCGATTATAATCACACAAAAGGCGGGGTCGAGGAAATCGTTAAAAATGTGCGATATATTCCTGCAGTCGTAAAACGAGACGTTGGCCACAAGCCATATTTTATCGAGTACTAGATATTGCTGGCATCAATGCATATGTACTTTATGGTCAATGTGAAGGTGCGTAATTGAGAAGAGGAGATTTCCTTACGCATCTATCCAGAGAACTAGTACTACCCCCATTAAAACAGCGAGTTTATAATGAAAAACTCCCAAGAGAATTGCGATTGACCCTGCGACGTTTACTAGGTCAGGACTTGCCCCCACGACCTTTATCCGAGTCTTCCAATGAGCCTAGTATATCATCACGAAAATTATGTCGCATCTGCCCAAGTAAATTGAAGCGACAAATAAGATTTGTTTGTTGTATATGTGCGAAACATATTTGTTTGCAGTGCTCCTCGCAAATTTGTGTTGAATGCAAGACTGAACTTTGAGATTGATTAAAAAAAATCACTGTAAGGATTTTTAAAATTTAAGGGTTTTTTTGTTTTTTTGAAGTTTTAAGAAGACAAAGTCATGTTTTTTTTGTTATTTCTTTTAATTTAATTCTTTTTCTTGATTTTCAAAGTTCCTAATTACAAATGTTCCTATAATTCATAAGGTTCCGGTAATAAATAATATTTTCTTAAAACAATGGTTTTATTGGTCTGTTTTTTACAATGGTTTAAGAAATATAATGTAAACTTTGCTAAATTCAGTTTTATTTTCAATAACTAACAATAAAATTTGAAAAATCCTTACCTAAATTATATGTCCGACAGGCTACTCCTCAGTAGAATAATTACAAGAAAAGCACCTCAGTAGCAGAGGGATAATCCGACGAGGTAACATTTGTATGACAAAAAGAACAGGCTATCGTAATATAGTTAAATATGATTTCAATTAGCAAATAAAATATAGAATAAGCAAGTTATTTATAGTAATATACATTTATGTATAAGTGTATTTATTTATATGTTGTTTATGTATATATATATATATATATATTTATGTGTGTGTGTGTGTTTAGCTATATATAATTATATGTTTTATGGAACCTCACTAAGTTTTTCTGTAAGAAATATCATAAGCCTGCCAATTGTACGCTTTATGTACTATAAATATTTTCAAATTTAAGTGAAAAAAATGCGTATGTTCTTGTGACTAGACGATGAAAGTGAAAACTTACGTTATATTAAAAACATAATTATTGGTACTATGCACTCCTTGTCAGACAGTAAATGTGGCTGGTGCAAACGACTAGAGACGAGTATAAACGATTCATTGCTTCACCGAGCCAAGCGCGTTTGATGTCAAATGGAGCCGAGAAAACCCATTTCAACGTCACCAACTCGAACGTAATGGTTTATTTTCCTTCACTGTTCATAAAGAGGGCGCCTAAAGAAGTTATTACTTCAATAAATTTGAAAAGCGAAATAGATGTCACAGTTTGCTGAGATAGTAACTATTACACATAACGTGCCCTATAAGGTTGAAGCACAGTGAATAGCGCAAGCGATTTATTAATGGCAATTTGACCGCGCCATTTGCTATAAAAATGAAAAAATTAAAGCTGTTATATGATTTTATTAAATGGCATGGTATCTTTTTAAGATTTTTATCGACTTGTGCTAGTAACTAAGTTCTTTAAAATGTTACATGGTAGAATACTTTGCCTTTTTTTAAAGAAAACGTCCACCTGATGGCAAGTGGATGTTGTGGTTAATAGACATTTATCATTTATCCTCGATTAAGAATCAAAATGCGTTTTCAGTCCCGAGGACTAAGATGGAATAACGCTTTTGCAGTATTCTCTAGACTCACCATACGAAACGTAGCATCATTAATCTGCCATTTTTCGCTGGTATTCTCTGAGAGCGTGGTCGTACCCTGGTCGAGCGGACCCATTCATGTTCCAAACATAATATAGCTGGAGCGTGTCTCTACCAGGTTTTAAATTTATAAAAAAAACATGTAAACATTTCGTTATAAGTTAAGTTAATAAATAAAGTGTAATTGGTTTCACATAACAAAGGAACTTATTCCCCGCAGAGCTCACTATGCAGTGGTATCATGAATTTTCCCACACTAGTCACGTAGAGCCATTACAACGCTATGATAGGCCCAGGTGTGGAAACCGGCTACACGCCAATATGATCTCCGATTATAGGCAATTTTCCAAATAGTCTCGTATCGAATTTGTGTTAGTGCGCTTCTGTAAATATTTCAGAGAATCCCTGTAGACTTTCTTTATCACAGTGAATATGTATGCATGTACTTTGAATAATGGCACGCACGTTTACATGGTAGAGCCACGCTGCAGCTGTATTATGATACAATATGCAATAAAGTTATTGCGTATTGAGTATGATTGTAGCAATAATAGATCGGCTTGGCCAAGGAAGGACTACTCTTTTACAGAAAGCCAGCGTAAAATGTTAGCTCATGTTACGACGAGTATAGTGAACAGAAGACATTTTTACTGGTAACGAAGAAGGTAAACGTTCATTTTAGTCCGGGTGACTACGTATCTGCGTTACAATACTTAGTCGAGGATAGATGTATATACTCATGGATTACTATATACTGTGTTCTTGTTTGTTATTTTTATTCTATAAAAAAATCTTATACAAAAGTTATAAGTCGTGAGATAGGTTTTATTACTTCTCAAAATACAGGTTTTCTCACGATGTATTCCTGCGCCGTCGAGCAAAGTTAGCAGTTAAAGTTACATTTGACATTCGTGGCGATGCGGTGCGGAAAGAATTAAACCATCACGACCCTTTCACAGTAAGTTTTAATAAAAATTATGTAAAACTAGCATCCACTTGCGACTTCGTCTGCGTAAAACATATGAAAAAACCCGATTGATATTTAATACAGGTCTTCAAACATTTTGGTTCATTATAGTAAAACTACTTTAAGTTTTAAATAAAAACCGAATTTAAAATCGTATTTCTATAATTTCTATATATTCGTAAAAATGTTTATGTAATAAATATTGTAGTGGTGGTGTTAAATTATCCACTACCCCATATCGTCCCATGGATCCCTGTCGTAAGAGGCAACATAGGGAAATGGTTTACTAGTTGAAAATTGAGTTGGGCTTGCATATAAATGAGAAATGATAGGAAAGATCGGGTTTAACACTTACCTTTGAACCACAGCACTTCAATCTTTCTCGAGTTGATTTGGATAAATATATTTATTATTAAATATGATTACTTACTTTACTCCTCGCGTGGAGAAACTCGTATAAAGATAGTTTTAAAGAAACTTGCGCCCTCTCGCGTCTAAAATCGGAACTCTTCACACATCGCCGTGGCGTACATTTCTGAAGAACACGCAATTCGTTTTCATGCTCTATATATAAAGATTGTATTATATAATGGGAAAATAGAAAAGAGTTGCAAGCTTGCAAGCCATAACAAGCAACCTACATTGAGTATTCATATAACGGTTTAAAAGTTATGTCTTATTCAATTTGAATTCAATACGAAAGAAAGCGAAGACAGAAACTAATAGAATGCAACAAAATATTTTTTATTCAATATTGATTATTACGCAATATTATTGAAGTCATATTTTTTATATAACACCGCTTTTGGGCCGCTGGGAACCGGCTTGGAAGAAC